ATGAAATGGAACATTCCTAACGGTTGCATAGCTTCTCGCAGATAAGTATAAACGTCTCCGTATCGATCCACGAGACTCTAATAAACCGGCTTGTGATCTATGACTCCTATGAACCTAGAGCTCTGATACCAACTTGTCACGACCCTAGTTCACCAACTGTGAACATGTCATGACGGCACCTGGTCCCCATGACTAGGTAAGCCTAACACTTGCGGAAATATAATAATTGCGGAAAAATAGAGAAAATCAAATCAAATATCTAAAGGAAACTGTACTGAATGCCGCATGGCAAGTACAACTCAACATCACAAGTCTAAAACAATTCCCAAAACCTGGAAACTCACAAATCACAAGCTAAGGGATACAAAAGAGGCTCTGACTCAAGAATATCTATACAAAGGAGAAATACTGAAATAGCTATACTTATTACAGAAAGCTGGAAAGGGACTCCTCGGTCTGCGGACGTAGCAGATATACCTCGAAGTCTCTACCGATACGCCTCTTTCCAAGGCTGACAGAACTGAGTGGGAGTACCTGTATCTGCACAACAAAAATGTGCAGAAGAGTAGCATGAGCACACCACGGCGGTGCCCAGTAAGTATCAAGACTAACCTCGGTGGAGTAGTGATGAGGAACAGTCAAGGCACCTACCGGTCAATAAACAGTAAAATCATAGGAATAATGGAAATGGCATATAATTATGTAAAGACTGCATGAATGACCAAGAATGCTACAAATCACAATAAGGGAAAAATACAACAAGTAACAACGAGAATATAATAAATGAGGATAGGAAATGACGACAGAATCACAATCCAAATCCTAAGGTCACAACACAGAATGGGAAAACAAGTCAATAACTCATATCCTACAATGATGTTCACAATGGTCTTATCCAACTCTTTCCACAATTTCGCCAAGTCTCGGACAAACCACAACTCGCGAAGACCCAGCATCTGAAATCTAACAATTGGCATCCTATGCCCCATCAATCTCATGGTCATACCGACAACTAACTGGCTAACTAGGGCCACTCTCACAAATATAATGGATAAACGAGGGCGTACCTCCACCCTTAGCAAAATCAGGAGGAATTCACCTCTAATAGGGGTGTTCAGCTACGTGTATGCTTGTGCAAATGTTTCTAACAAAATTCTACCAGCTAGTAAACATGAAAAGGAGAACGGACCGCACGTGCGATGTTTTCCCCACAACTTCCAAGCGATAAAGCTCATACCGGTAAGCAACCCACAATCACATTATTAAACAAATAGGAATGCCTCCACCGGCCGTCACAATTCTCTACAATCATCCCCTGACATAGCCCACCTTATTTCGCCACGTGTGCAATTAATAACATAATAAGCATCGCCTTATTTCGCGACACGTGCATCACAATATTCCCACCTTATTCCGCCACATG